GCCCCTCAGGTTCTTCCTCCACTTCATTCAAAAGAAAAAACATCAAACTAGTCAAAAAAATCATTTCTATTTTGAAAATGATAGAGTACCGAAGTAATAATCATTTCCGTGCTTGCAATCGCAGCTTTCGGATGACATAGAGTGGCATTTTATTGGGAATTTGCAGAGCAATAAATTGAAGCCTTTGATTGGTAAGCAAAGCTACGTGTTTTTAGGAACTTTCGATTAAAATGTCTGTGTTTACATCATAGTTTATTATTACTGCTTTTAAGCTGAGCTTTTTTAATGGGTATCTGAAATTGAACTTTTACTTCATTTGGTTTTGCTGGAGGGCAATGTTTGTTGTGTGTTTACTTATTATTCATTGTTATGCAGCTGTTGTGCCGAACCTCGCCATGGTGGAAACTGTAGATGATGAGAAGGTAATTCTGTTCATTTCCATTAGTATAATTGCTATAAACTGTTCCTTTATGTATTGGAGACAGAATTAGACACAACTTTTTTAATTAATTTATACCTAATTTTGAATCTAGTTTTAGCGAGAATGACTTATATGATTTTGTTTTCTTATATCATTAATCATTATGTCAAAGCTTTCAATTGATAGTTTCAATAACAACATTCATAATGTGGCCAAGTATTTGTGTTTTTTACTTATTAAACTGAGCATCTTCCTTATTTTGGGCCAGATTACAAATCATCTTAATAGTGCGGTTGGAAACTTTGAAAGTCTTAGTCCAGGTGAACACCAATGGAGAGGAATATAAGTAAATTTATTTTTATTACAACGAAAATATATTGTTTTTCGTTGAGTTGTGTCAAGGCTTTGCACGTTCAAGCGTGTTGTCATGTATTTGTCTTTAAGTTTGCTAGATAAAACTGATCTTGTTTCTTTAGCTTCTAGTTCCGTACTATGCTCTATCAACATGGCTATTGGAACCTAGTTCATTGGGGCTAAGTACCTAGTTAGATTAGGTCAAGTATATTTGTTGACAAAGAAGCTCCTTTTATCAACACTTGGAGATCGTTTTCATAGTATTTTCCTGCATCATGTTATTGCAGCAAAATTTGGTGTTGAGCCTTTAGGTTGTGTGGAACTTGCAAAACATGTTAGTCTAAATTGCCCGAATCTTCAATTTTGTGGATTGATGACAATCGGGATGCCTGATTATACATCAACTCCGGAGAATTTCAAGGTGGCTGAACTTCTTATCTCGGTTTTCCATCCTTTTCAATCGATTCTTTATTTTTCTAACAATATTTATTTGATACCAAGACATTAACAAATTGCTGAAGTGAAGTCTGCAAGGCTCTTGGAATTCTAGAAGAACAATGTGAACTGTCAATGAGAATGTCTGGCGACTTTGAACTAGCTGTAAGGATTGTTTTCCCGTTACCATCTAGATAAGGAAAACTTTATATTTGTATGCAATTGGCTTTGTCTATGCTTTAGTACTAAAACATTGTTGTGCAATGTATGTGCTCCTGCCACATACCGTGCACAAAACCATGCTATGTTACTCAAATTTGGGTGTGTTAGATATGAGTATACTTAATTTTTTTCGAAGTTTCTCATATATTTCGAGAACTCTTGTAGGGTTGTACCTTTATACTCATGTATCTATTGTGTCATATTCCCTAACCAAACCCCATAGAAGTAGCATTCAATTCTTTTAAAGCTTACGAGAGAACGACTGTCTAACGGATTGTCTCATTGTTTCCGCAGATTGAAATGGGCAGTACCAATGTCAGAGTTGGATCAACCATCTTTGGGGCAAGGGAATATCCAAAGAAGAAATGAAACGCTGCATTGTTATTAAACATAATCATCGGGTTTTTATTTTGTTACACCGGGTTGATGTGGTTTGATCCGAGAGAAAGAATACACTAACTGATAGTAGAATCCATTTAACTTGTTTATTCCTTCTAAATAATGCTAATAAAATTGTAATTGTTTTATATGAAATTCGATTCTTATTGTTCGGTTGGAAAATTAACCTCAAGTACACGAGTTTGAGTCTTTCGTTAAATCAGTTTCTCCTCACAAGGATCCCACAATGAAGTCCTTGCCACCTGCATATCCACGCTCAAATCCAACACACCCAGATTCCCACGCATTCCCTGGCCTCCTCAAAGCTTGCACTTCTCTGTTAGTCTGTTACGCACATCCAAACGAGGTCTCGAGGTCTTTAATTCAATCAATCGAACCAATTCAATTGAGAGTCGGCTGATCTAGTGGTTATAAAATTGGAAATCCAAAAAACTGTACTTAAAAACCAAAATTGAAATAAAAAAGACGGATGAACAAGTTATTTTATGGCTGAGTTAAGTACAAATTAGATTAGGATTGAATATTATTGGCTTGCTTGCTTTTCGTAATCAAGAGTTAAGTACAAATCAGATTTGAACCGAGTATTAATAATTTTATTAAAATATTAGCAAAGATAATGATGAATGACGGTGAAATATAGAATTATAGACAATATGATTTTTAGTGTTATATTTTCTTACTTATTTGAAATATGTTTTTGCAATATAAATTAATGAGATAAATAATAATGATAAAGTATGCAGAATTAAGTATAAATATAAAAGATAAATAAATAAATTATTGTATATAGAAGATATAATAAATATTATATCTTAGATAACAAAAATAATTTACATTTTTTATTATTATGAATATCTATGAAGAATTTCCACAATATAAACATTTAGTTAAATGTTGATGTAAAATTTTAATATATTTTTACATAAATTATATAAAATTTAATATTAATTAAAATTAAAATCATACATGATATATTTAAATACTCAAGTAATATACTATCAACAAATAGAATTTTTAGATAAATAATTTTTATTTAAATATTTAGAATTTCACTTGTTAAAAAAACAAATATAGAACAAGGACAATTTGGTAAAATATACATTATAGTAATCTTTTATTCCTTCAACCAAACACTGTAATCTTACATTCCTGTCATACCAACCAAACACAGTAATGTAACATTATCAGTAATCTTATTCTCTGGTAATCTTTTATTCCCACTGGTAATCTTACATTCCGTGAACCAAACGCACCCTTATGGTTCCTCATAAAACTTCATGGAATCCGAAAATGCCTAAACAATAGAGGTTTTCAAGGAACAAATACCTAATGCACCCCTAATTGAAGACAATCGATCATGTGTTGTGAAAGTGAACAACAACAACAAAACCCAATTCCCATATGTAATGGGGTAAGTGAGAGGTAGGGTAGTAGGCTGCCCCCAACGCCAGGTTGAGAGTAGCTTCCGTGGAAGACCTCCAACAGTCAGAAAATTAAAAATATAGATAAAATGATATTAATAACAACGTCACTGAAAAATATTTTACAGGCCACTGTCTTTTTGTTCTTTTCATTTATATTCAATCATGTCATGTGTAAGTGCAATAATAAATTTAATAGTTTTCTGTGCCAGACATCATATTCATATACCATTCATTGGGTATATATCTAAGATTTTGAAAAGGCATCTTTCAAGCAAATCCAGTCATTTTAAATTAAAAAATACATACAACATTTTGGATTCTCAGCAGAGGGAAGGGATAATGCTGTACTTAAATTTGGACAGTAAAGGCCGATGTAGGAAGCATCCCAAAGTATTTGCATTCCTTTCTTTTATCAAATTATGATTTTCGACTAAACAATCTTTTAATGTAATCATTATATTTTAATTGCTATAATTTGATGGTATTGTTATGTCTTAATCTAAATCATTAACACTTTTTATTCTGTAAAATAGATAAATATAAATTTTGGTACTTAATTTAGCATTTATGTGTAATGTTATATCTAACTGTTTTAATCAATGTCAATAGAGAAATTGTATATTTTGATCATACTACTTTTATTTTATTGTTAAATCATAATAAAATAAATATTGATATATTATATAATAATATAATGTGATATAAATAACAATGAATGTTAAATTTAACTATAATAATTTGAAATATACAAACAATTATCAATATTAATTAGTACTTATATCACATCATATTATTATATAATACATAGTGTTTATATAACTATTAATAATGGTCTTACATTTTATCAAAAAAAATAATATTTTTAAATAATCTTATTAATAAAAGACGAGATACACATAACTATAGTTTGAGAATGAAATTGAAATATTTACAAATTTAAAAATCAATTTAAATTGAAGGTCATAATTTGAAAATAAAATTGAAATGTTTAAAAGTTTGAAAACTAATTTAAAATAATGATCATAGTTTGAGGATGAATGATACAATTAACTCATAGTTTAACGATAGAATGACGGTGACTAAAATGTGCAACGTCCTTAACAATGTTGACCATATTGTAAACTTTTATGACTAAAATAAAAACTTACTAAAGTTATCATTTTTTATAAAAAAATTACACATCAATTGACTAACAATATTTTGGTGACTTGAATTTAATCATCACGATGACTTAGAATATAATTTTTTATAATAATTATAACAGTTGATATCCTAATTCAAACCGATCAAGTTCAGCAACTGGAATCCAGATCACAAGCGAATGTTCCAATGCTGTCAACAATTCAGTATGAACAACTTTTACAACTTTATTACTATAACAGTGCCTCTCTCTTTTCGTCCCCCGCAAGGTAACAAAGAGTTCCGATTCATGATGGAATACCCATAGCACTGAACAGAGTGAAGCACAGCACCACCTGCTAGGACACGAAACAAACATGGAATTCAAGTGGCAATCAACCCTAAGCACATAAGAGCATTACATCACATATATGTTTTCTCACAGCTGAGTGCACACGTCACACCCTATATATAATCATATAGCATCGACTACAACACCAGCTAGGAACCAAGCGTGGTGATCAATGAGTAATGATTCAATCAACCCTATGTTCGTATATTAAATATCACCGAAACATCAATTATAACATCGGAATGGCGACTACACCGCAGAGTCGGCATGTTTGGGGTAAAAGCAGGGAAGTTTAATAAAATAAGCAAACGAATTCCCAACTGAATGTTTTTCATTCAACCAAATGACCCAATTAAGTCTAGTCCAAGGATGAAACAAAATTAGATCGGTTGAATAAGATAGTTACTATATAGGATCAATTTCACATATACTCACCTGATGAATAGAGGTGGAATTCCATTACCTGGAGCATAAAATCGGTACAACATGAGCACGGTGAGGTATGTCATTGTTAGAGTTCCCAAGGGCCTTCTCCAGTTGTCGATGTGCTAGAATGTCCCATCATCCGCTGCAAAATCACTGCCCTCGCCATCCTAATATCGTGGCTACACTTATCAGCTTGTTGACCCAATTTCTCGATGATTTCCATAAATTCTCCCAGCTTTCTCTTGATCTCATCCATTGCAAGCTTCAAAGAATCTTCTTGTCCAAGTACAAAATCAGCAGTCTGCAACAGTGACTCAATCTTGATCTCCAATCGGCTAACAAGCACCCTTATGTCATCTATATCATAGATTGTAATACGAGTAAAGAAATCCATTGTAGTTGTTATTTCCATCTGCTCTTTCACCTCTTTCTCATAGCGCTTCCAAAGCGAGTTGCACCATCTTCCAACTGAACCTATAGGAACTGACAATGCCCCTGCCAAAGCTGTCACAACAGGTGGTGCAGCTATGGCTGCTGCCACCACAGAAAATATCAACACAGAGACAAACGTAGCTACAAACAACACATTTGATACCCTCCTCCATGTTTTCATTGATTTCCATTTCTTATCGAGCTTTCTCTTCCGTGCCAGCAACTTCCCCAGCATTGATTCCTGCTGTCTACCGACCGAGTCTAACAGTAAAAAGAACTCCTTGGGGAATGGCTCTTCAGCAGCTTTGAATTTCCTTAGTTCTTCCAACGTCTTCACAAATTTCTTCCCCTCAAGCCCAACTCCTAATCCTACCTCTTCATCAAAACAATTAACAGCTAACTGAATAATTAACTGATTGTTTCGAGCACGTTTGAGACAATTCTCAAGGGCAGTACAAAAGTCTAAAGTCTTTTTGCTGTTCTCAAAGTATTCCTCCACCAAAGAAAACAAGTCCGGATTGTTCCATATATCTCTCTGACTTTCTAAAATGATTTTGGCCACTCCCTGGTTGGTTTCAAGAAGACTGCCAGTAACCACTTTGAGTGAGTTAAAGGACATGGACTGAACACCCGAACCGGCTGCAAGTGTGCTGATGACGTGGCTAGTACGTTCCTGGAGTAATGCATCGAAATTTTGCAGAGTTGAATCATGTCTACAAGCAGCCTCGTAGGAGCTCAAGTCAGCTTCCAACTGCAAATCTGGTTTGACTTGGGATGATGGTTCTGGACTACCCCCTTTCGTTTTGCTAGACTGACGTCCCATCATGGCTGATAAAGATTCAAATGGTAATGGCAAAGATTTTAGAAACCCAGAAGCACTTTTGACTTGTATCAATCGGTTTACATAGCTAAAATAACTTTCTTTTCAGTACCAGGGATCAATTCTAGGTAAAATGGCAGAGGAATGACAATCTTATAGGTTTCAGTAATCTATAGAGTACCAAAATCTCAAATCTAAGTGGAACCCAGTAACAAAGTGGTCTAAGATGGTGATCTCAAATTAAAATTTCAAAAAAAAAAAAAAAGAACACAAGAAAATCCATAAAATATGTCCCTGAAGTTCAACAAATGACCAAAATAAACAAGATTGAGTAACATCTTAAAACACCCATAGGCGTATACCCCAATGAGATCCGGGAAATAAAACCAATAATCCCGAAATTAAAAAAATGATTAAAGTTTTCAAATATCCTAGAAATTTATGAGATTAAAAGTACCTGAATTCCAGCTGGAAAGTTAAAGACCGACGGTTTCCCGATTTCAATTTCTTCTCAGTTGAAATCCTTAGCAGAATAAGCTCAAAACTCTAAGCTGACGACCAACAAGATATAACCCAGCCACTCAAGGAGCAATCTTGACAAAAAAAAATTAAGAATAAGAAAAGAAATGCACTGAGGTAATGCAAGATACGGGGTTGAAGGAGCGAGAAAATGGAATCACTTCTGTTTCATCGTCTCTTTCAACTACGCGTCTTCTGGAGGGTTCAAGGTCAAGCCTTGAGGGTAAAGCTTTGATTTTTCTCGGGATTGATGAGTTTTAAGAGTCGAATAAAGCGAGCAAATTTTGTAAAAATGAATGTTTGGCCCAAAGGCAACTTCCTACAGTAGTTGAATATCGGGTGGAACCCTGGGAGAAAATTTATAAAAGGGTATTTTTAATAAATGTATACGACAATAACCTAATACACCGACAATTACAGTTTCTAAACGTGTTCACCAACCCTTTTAGAATTTAGATTCTTTTATGAATTTGAAGTAATTATAATATATATTTGAATCTAAAATTTTAAAAAAATATTAATTATTTAACTATTAAAATCGTTTAACTAATCTAAATATTTTTTTATATGATTTGGACATTGTTTTCAAACTTTAATTTTTCGCTGCTTCTTTATTTCTTCGCCAACATTGTTTCCCTCTTATAAAAATTTGGCTTAATAATATACATTCTCAATTTTATTAAAAAATTAATTGGCCCTTAAATATTTTTACAGTCAATATAATTTTTAAATTAATAAATAATAATAATTTGATCTTTTAACCTATGAAACTGAATACTAATCGTTACAATATTAATGTGATAGTCTATAGTGCTAACGTGTTGATCCATGATGACTGATGACGATATGATAGATAAATTAAATTATTTTTTAAATTCGAAGGTTAAATTATTTTTTTAATTTCAACAACTTATTTATTTTTAAATAAAAAAATATTTTAAATTTTTTTTTAAACAATTAAATATTAAATATTAAAAATAAAAATAAAAATATTAAAATTTAAAAATACTAAAAACACTATTAAGAATATAAAAGCATAACACAACTATAAAATTATAAATTAATCAATCATATATTATACATAATATATACATATACCATATAGACACAAAAATAAATTAATCATATTCACATAGTCGAATTAACAAACTCAATATTCTTTTTAATTTTATATAAATATTAACTATCATTAAAATAACGTACACTTTTATATCATACACGTACTTATGTTAAACATAATTTTATTACCATACAAATATGTTATCAACAATTATACAATGTATTATTACTGGATGTTGAGACTTACAAATTTTGCAGCTAAATATAATTAAGAAACATTGTAAGTTACTCATATCAATACACAAATAATCATCTCGCATACAATTTTTAGATATTATTTTATATGTTAGGTTATTTTATAATGCGCAAGGGTTTGCAAAAAAACCTTTAGAATTACTCAAAATATGATTAGATACGTGTTTTGATACGAATAACTTATATTATCGTAAAACAAAAGAACTTGTGTTTTTTTTAAAGAAAAACTTTTCATTTAATTGATTTTAATTACTGAATAATTTTTCTTATATTTTAATTGCTTATATCAGCTTATTTCGATCGTCTTCAAGGACACTAGGTTTATTTTGACTTATAATTTTTTTCCTTTCAATTTTATACTACAAAGATGAATAAAAGGCCTTTCTACTCCAAGTGGATTGAAAGCTAAGCTATTCAATTAGTTAACGTAATTCATAATTTTAAAGATTGCTTTATTCATGTTTTAAAGTTTGAAAATTTCAAATAAAATGCATGTTTTATGTATAAATAATTTATGATTCAATACTATTACAATTTGAATGTATAAAAAGATTAATTTGAATTTACCAACAAATAAACATTGACGACATTTTAAAACTTAATGTGTAGTACAAGCAATGGTTCGACTGTTTAAAGTGAAGGAAACACAGAAAGAAGTTGCCCGAACCCCAAGCAAAAAGCAATCTGCAGGAGAGCTGCGTTTACACAAAGGTTAAGCTCAATTGAGTTATTTTTCTTGTTTGTTGCTCCATATAATTTCCTTGTTTCTGCAGACATTGCAGAGCTGAACCTGCCACAGTGTTGTACCATATCATTTCCTAATGGAAAGGATGATCTGATGAACTTTGAGGTTACCATTTCCCATGGAGATGGATACTATGTGTAAGGAAGTGTTTGCTTTTCATAAGTCTTTTATACGTATATATACAAACACATGGAGAAACTTGAAGTTATAAAATTTTAAAAAATGAAAACAATTTTTTAATAGAAAATACATAGAAAAAAATATAAAATATATAATAATTTTAAATTTTTAGGGGTGCGACTGCCCCACTCACCCTGTCTAAGTCCATCCATGCATCGATGGCAAGAAGACATGGGCACCAGATCTCAACTAGTACAATTTCAAGTTTTTGTCACGGCCTGCGAGTTGGGATCCGACGCATGTGTACTGAAAGCTGCCCAAGAGATTTTGTGGGGGGTTTTTTTTTTGAGCTTATCTAAGTTACTTAATTTGGCCCGATTCTTGAGAAATGCTGATAAATCATGTGTCTATCTATTTGAGTTGCATTCCAACTCTAGTATTTGCCTTATAGAATAATTGTGATAGTAGATAGGATAGGAAACTAATCTTAACCGCCCATGTAATTAGATTTAAGCCGTCAAATATAAAAAGAATTCATTATAAAAAAGGCTTTCCCCACCTCATTGTACATACTCATTTGTGAATAAATTTTAGACATTCACACTAAATTTTCCCTCATTTTTTTGTGTGCCACCAATTTCTCTCCTGTATTTTAACTTTCGCCTCATTTTAAGTAATCAAAATTAACGTTTTAGGCTGACTTAGCCGTCTACGCAACAACGAAACATCTAAAGCTACATGGACCAACTAGATGCACTTTAACCTCATGACACTTTTGCATAGAATAAGCGATACTAAGGCAGTCATAAGATTCTACTAGTTACAAATGTAAACTAAATCACACATAGCGAATGAGAACAATACTTCAGTTGCTCTTAGAGTTTGAAGAAGTGTTCATTGCACCAAAGGGTTTACCACCAAGGAAGGATACCGATTACACTATTCATTTATCACTTAAAAGTTCATTTTCTAATAGGTCAAGCTTTACGATCTAACATCGTAAAAAATTATTAGACAAGTTAAAGGCTATAAGATTAGTACAATTCTTGATTCAATCATTAAAAAATTATCATATAAATTGTTGTTAAAAAGATCGAATGAGGAAATCATAAAAAAGAACAACATATGATATCAACATCTACATATTTTTGCATGAAACACAATAATGATATCACTTCATTGTTAGGATTATATTGCCAACGATAGCGTAAAGTTATTGTTTAGGAATATAAAGGGAAAGAGCTAATACCTAAGAAATTTAGATCAATTTTTTTTCTCAGTATGGTGGGTATTGTGTAGTGACAACGACAATTGAAATAATATCATACGATGAAGGTGTAAACGAAAAAGAGGATGATGACTCTTAATTTTGATGAATATGCAGTTGATGACAATGATAGTAACAAAAAATGAATTAATAATTTGGTGATTGAATTGCGGGTTTTAAAAGTTTACTAACCAAATACAGATGTTCTAAAAGTTCAATGATTATTTTTATAGTTTACTATTGAAATATATTAATATATTAATAAACATTATCAATAATTTGTTATAATATATTGATCAATATTATAATTATAAATGTTTTATAAAATATTGTAATTGATGATATACTATTTTATAACATTAATTCAATTATAATATTTTTTTGATAAACTACAATAATATCTTATCTATTAATCAACTAATTCATATTGAGTATTGCATGGATCTATTATGAGATCAATCTTCTCAACCAAATTCGCTCCATTCACACCCTTAGAATTCAAATTTTTAATCTTTGCTCAAAAGATTTAGTACATCATCTCATTAGATTTATTAGTTATTGTTAATTAAAATATGATATTAATTGATATTATAATTAATTTTAACATTAGTTTAAAATTAAATTCAATTATTTTCAACCATATAATAAACCATATAATAAACCCCATCAGTTTGGTAAGGTGATAGTGTGTTGGAGATTATTGGGCTTAATTCTCAAGGTTAAAAAATATTCTTCTTTCATTTTATTACCATTGAAATAATATGTATTATTGTTTTATTAGAAGTTATAGAGATGGTTTGTTGTTAAAATCAGTTAGATAATTAGAAAACCGTTAGGCAAGTAAGTAGACAAGTTGATTAATGTTTGTATATAAAGGGTTACATACTTATTGTACATTTTAACTCAATACAAAAAAAACATTTTTAACATGGTATCGTATGACCATTCTTTCGATCTATTGGAGTTTTAGGCTTGTAAAAATGGGCTTTTCTTCATCGTCCTTGTGTTTGTTTTTTCTCAAATTCTAATTAAGTTTTTCCTATTTCCTCTTTTGCCATTCTTCTCCATTTGGCTAAGGATGAAGTTACTTTTCATCATCCCCTTTACCTTCATCCATCAGACACTCCGGACATTGTTTTGGTCTCTCATCAGTTGACTGGCCTAGATAATTATAATGTTTGGAGTCTTTCAATGTGTATCACTTTTCTTGCCAAGAACAAACTTCTTTTTGTTGATAAAGCTTGCCATCAGGAGAATTATGATGAGGCTCTTCATGCTCAGTGGTACCAATACAATGTTGTTATCCTTTCATGGATTTTCAACACTGTCAATCAAGAGCTCTCTGTCGAAATTGTGTTCGCTTTTGATTTTGCTACCATTTGAGAGGATTTCAAAGAAAGATTCAACAAGGTTAACGGTTCGTGAAGTTTTTTTCTTCACCATAAAATTTCTCTTTCAAATCAAGGTGATTCTTCTATTCCGTCTTACTTTACAAAGCCGAAATTACTTTGGGATAAGTTCACTGCTCTTGTATCGTTTTCAAATTGTGATTGTGAGGTTGTTTAGCAGAATTTGAGGTATTCTAATCAACAACGTCTTCTGTAATTCCTCATGGGTCTCAATGAGACCTATGTTGTTGTTCAGAGTCAAATATTGTTAATACAAGCTTTACAGTCAGTTAATTAAGCTTACTCTATGGTTGTACAAGAAGAGGCTCAAAGGGCGTTGGTGTCTGGTGTTTCTCCAATACCTGATCCGAGTGGTATGCATTCTATGGCTTTTAATTCTCGT